ATTACGTTAATTATACTGGGCCCGTTTCTCGTAGGTCTCGGTAACTTATTGGGCTAGTAAAGTTGTTCTGTTTTCATTCGAGCCAGAGTGTTTGAATAGTCTTGAAAATCATACAATAAACGTTTTAGCTAAAGAAACAAAATGGACTGGTCGAGGAGTTATTTTTTGATTCTAAAATATCGCTTCGGGACTTTCGAGAAACGGGCCCCGGTCCTTGATCTCACTTGTAGGGCTTAAAATGTGTACTTGCGTCAAGTACGCCCAATGGGCAAGATTTCCTTTTTTCTGAAAATGGCGAAGAGAGCTCGTTGGAGAACTTCTCCTGATGAAATTTTCCTGAAATAGTTCCCCACCTCCCCTGCACTCCATTACAAAAAGATAAAACTGGCCGTGAAAGTTCCCGTCTGACGTGAGGGAACGCTTCTCATCCGGCTTCAGACTAAGACGAGGAGTCGAGAGATGGAAAATGATAGCGGTAACGTAATCTGGTTCACTAATATTCCTATTGTACAACTTTTCTTTAGGCAGTTTAGAACGTAGTGCGATCACGTTCTACCTCTCGACCCTTAAGATTGATTGACATCCAATTTCTCCTTACAGTATTATTACTGAATCAAGCACTTAAGTCATGAGAATAAAGAAAATGATCACTAGCCAAAAAAGCTCCTAATTGTGAGACAAATTCTTCTGGTCAGTATCATAGGAAATATATAAACGGCAGTATGCAGAATGCGGAGACTGGTTTTAGGAACTGAAGGGTCAGAGTTTATTGCTTTCCCACCTGTTCGCGCGCGACCTGTTTCTCGACATTTGGAAGACGCGTTCGTTCTGCGCCCGATCGAGTGAACCTGTCATTTCACCAATTCCAAATGAATCCTCTCCCTTTTCCTCTTTCTTTTTCGGAAACTATTTTGCTTTATCGTGTATTTTTCTCAAAATGCGGAAATCGCGGCTAACTTAAAGTAAATTTTATAATTTAATGAAAATCGAGTTGTATGTAAATCAGTTGTCACGCACTGACTGTGGCGGCTACATTGTGACATACACAGGCTACAGTGGGAAGCGTATGTGATGATCTCTTAGCCAGGTTGAACACGTAAGGCAGGACACATCAAAACGAAAGAACGGATTCGGTATTGGAAGACTTATTAGATTCGATAACAGGAAGGCGACCGGTAAGTGAAGCGATCTTTCTCTCATAATTTCGAGTTGAATTAGATATTTGGGGGTTTCGATTCTCGGTGTAGACTTTCAATGGCGAGGAGCCGACTGATTTGGCCAAAGCCCTTAGGTGTCGACTCTCACATTGTTGAAGACACTTGATGTCTACTGCAGGTTCAATATAAAGTGTTTTGAACGTTATCTTTGACCGCATACTCCATGCTGAACTCCTTAAATTATCTTAGATATTCATGGATTAACGACGACTAGATAGGTGCAGAAAAGCGCCATTTGTTTTGTTCGAATTCAGTCGAGCGAGTTGTCCATGCTTACTTGAATTTTGTGCCGGATCGAAGTCATCTGGAAGAAGGAAAAGTTGGTGAAGGTAATATTCACCTTGAGTTATATATTTCTCTTTAAAAGAATGACTTCTTAAACGCGGAAATAGTAAATCTACTCGATTTCGTAAAGTTAGCCGAGATCGATCGCGTAGACCGCCAACTTATCCAGCAAACCGAATTTTGAAAGCGTTCGATACCGTTTGCAATCCAAACAACTCAATTGCTCATAGCCCATTAACGTACTGTAGAAGAATTGTTTGCATTTGCTAAATAGCTTCACGAAGTTTTCTGTTCGTTTGTAGCACTTTTAAACATTAATATTGCATAGAGGGTAACAAGATTGACGCCGTCATTCGTAAGAAATTTTCGGTTGGAGTAAAGCTTGTCGCTTAAAGCCCATGGGACGTGAGTCAAATGGATTGGAGGCCTTCCTTCTTTGACGTCTGAACACTTCAAGAAATATTGCAACGAGCATCGTGTTTGCTTTGTTGAATTGAAACGCAAAGTTAGTCGAGATATTGCAAATCGGTTGCGTGACTGCGCGGAAATTTAACTTAAATGACGGCTTGCTTGTTATTGAAGAGACGAAAATATCCTCTATCTCATCAGCAGTTTTGAAGAAAATTCAAGATATTCACATTAAGAAATGGAACAACGTGTGTGTACGTTTTACTTTTGTCCGGTAATGTGTTACGATGTGATTGGAACTCATTTCAAGCAAAATTACGTGAATGGCTTCCGTTCGCACAGGAACTTAAAGTTCGTATTCTGTTTTCCAAAATCGAAACTGATATCGCACTACCGATGATTGCAGCAGAAACAACATGCTAATGCCACTCTTTTTAAAGTTACATATTTTCATAAGCGGCTTTTTAACTGGATAGGTAAAGGCTGGCAGAAGCGGGATCGAAAAGTAAAAATTTTGGAAGAAAGGAATTAACGAAAGGATCCTGTTTTGAAAACAAGCTAAATTCTAAATAATGACAATAATATGAATTATTAATGTTGGTGTCGGTTGCTAACCTACATTTATTTTTGTATTCGAAACAATTATCTTGCAATGAAATCTGCACGGGAAAAGTTTCGAAGATTTAGGGAAACTGGCAGATTTTTATCCATAGATTAACGAGAAAAATTAAAACTTAAGATTGTTCTCAGGAGTCTGTGGTTATATGATATGTCAAGTTGGAATTGACCTGTGGACCCGAGGATATAGAAACAAAGGGCTTGGTTAAAACAGTCACTGCAAATAATTTTTTTCTCAAAGATATTCAGACCACTAATAGCCACTTTTTTGGTTGCCAGAGACACAATAAATAACTTATTAAAGACTATCACCATTTTTGAACATGAGAAATACATTATTTGCTACCATGAAGCTAGGGCTGTCCCTAAGTGCTATTTAACCCCTTACACCCTAAGATTGATCAATATGCAAACTCTCCTTACTGCTCTCTATACATTTCTTATGGCACTTAAAGCAGTATTTATCTAACAATCAAGAGCTTCTTGAGTCCGTGATCTATATCCTAACAGTATCAGTAGTAATACTGTTAGGAGAGGTGAAATATGTATTATTCACTCTTAGAAGTTGAAGAGTGAAGTCAGCAGAGATGTCTTAGCAGTTCTGACCTCCCAATATGAATGCTGTGACATAATTTACTAAAATTAAAGTCTATGCGCACAAGGTGGACAAGAATTAGCTTAGGACTTCTTATAGGTGCCTACTCTTTTAAAGCAAGAGCACGAGTTTTTTCCTCATCAGACAGTCTCTTGGTTTTGTGTAGAGAAGTATTCTGCTATGTTGATTAAGGAACATAATATTCTAACAGGGAAACTTGTAGATTAAATGTCAAAATGAGGTTCCTTAAGGTGTATATGTGGCTCTTTTAAATTTTATTCATCCTATTTTATTTGACTTGTTTTATTCTCATTTTGAAGTATTCTTATTGAACAGTCTCAGGAAAAAAATATTTCCTATGAACATCAATATCATTTTCTTACTGTTTAGATATTTGTGAAATAAATTTCCATTTCTCCTTTCTTTAAAACAACATCATTGCTCACTTGTAAAATTATAAATAATGCCATGGTAAGTGGGGTTCTTTCATGTAATCTACATTATCAAAGCTTTCTCATGACAAAGGTTAATTATAATTTACTCTAAAAGGGAAGGTTTTTTTTGCTACAGAATGTAAAGTAGCAAATTGAAATAACTTATTTTTGGACACATCCTGGCCACATTTGGGTGATCATAGTCTTTTATTGTTTAGTCAATATCTTTAAAACTGAAAAAAAGATAAAGGTGTTTCATGGCACAGTGCATGCACACCAAACTCCTTCTTCATCAACTGCTTCAGCTTGAAGCCAACAGTTTTTGGAAGCGCCATCTCGTTTTTAGTCAACCGTGCATTTAGCTTACGCAATCAAAACAGGTTTGTGACCGAGAAAGCTGGTCAACTTGTTTTGATGAATCTGCAATCAGTCACTAGGATACTAAGTGGTGTCCAGTATCTCTTGGTAATTATAGTGCCTTATTGCGCATGTGTCAATTAAAACCAGAATTCTGAATGAATTACACACTTTGTCCGTGTTGAAGTCATATCGATGCAGAAGCATGGAAAGATGGGGAAAAAAAAGCTAAGTGTTTTTTTTTAACAAGGAATTAACCCCAGAACTTCAGATTCCATTCTTTGAAGGTCTACCATTGTACTACAGAGAACTTGGTTGTGGCCTTAAACTCACCAAAGAGTTTGTAATAAGTCAGTAGTAGATATTGCAGCATGAAATCATAAGGAGTGGAGTGTGTGTCATTCTTTTATCAACAATTATTATTCATGTAATAGAGTGTGATTTTCAGTAAAAAAAAGTTTTTTGCCCTTGTTCACCAGGTGTAATAAGACTTTTTAAAGCTCATGCAAAAATATTCCACAGGAAAAAGGAATCATTATTGGATTGTATATTGCTATAGATTTTAAATTATCAGGCACATGTATACTTTGCATAATAATAATAATGATAATAATAATAATAATGATAATAATAATAATAATGATAATAATAATAATGATAATAATAATAATAATGATAATGATAATAATAATACCTGTATAGCGCCAATATCAATATTGCCATTTTCATCAGCACTTAAAAATAAAAATATTTCAAAAAGAGTTAAAACAATTATGTGCACACTAAAACTATGTGAAAAATCAACTTTTAAATCACCTTTGAAACCCTGGACATTATTCGGGCTCCTGAATTGTTGTCCACCCTTTCACCCCCAAAATCTCAGTAGTAATTCTCCTTGCTGTCTGCGATATAATTTTTGGTAGTTTGGAGAATTTGGTATTGGATCAACTAATATTTTCCTAATTGATATTTTTCTTGATTCTTGTCACTTGTGTGCTTGTTATTGTATTGGTATTGCAAGGAGAAATTCTGTCTTGGTCTCTCATTGGAGTTGAAGCATTAAGGCTTCTTTGACAGTTGCATTAGGAAGTTTTCTTGTATCAAAGGATCATCTTTGTTTCTTTATTTGCTCCAGGTTGCTGTGGCATCAGTAATGACCAACAACAATGTGGTAACCCTCAGTTGGTTATTGGCTCAAGATCTGCCCCAAGCCTACATCTTTACTGAGAGACCTTCAACATTCAACCATAATGCAACCTTTGTTAATGATAAGAAATATGTCATCCACGACTACTTACCAAACATAACAGAAGACAACAGGCACCTCAAGGCAATGAGGGCATGTCCTGTGGCTGGAAGTAAATTTCCTATCCTGGTAACACGGGACATAAATCCGCTTATTAGAGAGGTAAGACTACCACAAGAGATTGAAAGATAACTTCTCGTTATAATATGCATATATTATCTAGCAGGCTGAGTTTGTTATCTTGATCCAACACCAAATTCTCATAACTAGAATTTTCATTCTGGAGTCTATTTTTTAAAATGTTTTCTTCTTGTTTGTTTTCTATTTATGAAAAAGCAGTAAAGTTTAAATCGAAGCTCTGATTTAGAAAAAAAGGAATTTGACGAATTTGTTTGAAAAACTAACAGTCTTACCTGTATATTTTCATGTTTCTGATGTTTCTTTTTTTCTGAATTCGATTAGCACTGGTCCAAGTGGTTACCATTTTTTCCTAAACCTGATATAAGAATCTTCGACAAAGAAGACACAGGAGACCGACCGTTGATCGTCAATTTCCCTTTCCAAAGTTTCCCTGCAAATAAGCACGCCGTCAATCCCGACGTTCACTACAAGCTTAGCTCCAAGGCCAGAATTCCCGAAATGGGGGCGCCGTGTCCCAGGCACATGTCACGTGATAACTATACCCTCCCTTGCATTATAAAGGCTGCACAAGGGAAGGGGAAACGCGGAACTTTTCTCGTGAAAACAGAGGAGGAAGTTACAGAAGCTCTAAATGAGCTCAGTAATAATTTCTGCGATGCGGAACTTGTGGTGACGGAAGTGATAGAAAATGTCTCTAAATGTCTCCTTGCTCAGCTGTACATCTTTCAAAATGGACTTTTCCACTGGTTAGGCGTCAAGTGTAAATCGAACCTACCATTTGTTAAGCGACCCGAGGGCTACATCCCGACTCCCGACGTCAACTGGGACGAGCAGGAAGAGCTGGAAGAGATGTTGCGTGACGTTGTGCATCCAGTCACGCAATACCTTCACGGAAATGGTTACTTTGGATTTACTGGGGTAGAGATTTTAGTCAACGATAAAGGATGTTTTGTGGTTGACGTTAATCTCAAAATTGCCTCATCGACAAATCTTCTTTTGATCGCACCTCATATGGCTGCTTTAAATTTTCCGATTTCTTATGTCATGGAAATTTTGCCAACTAACATCAAACATTTACTCGAGGCTATAGACAGTTTAAACCATCAGGGAGATGGAAGGGCGATTCTCTTGGCTGATGGCGAGCTCTCCGTAGAAATTCAACACAAAGCTTGCGTTGTGATCTTTGCGAAAAACTGCGAAGACGTCTTCAAATTTCAACGAGAACTTTTAAAGGTTGCCGGTAATGAAATTTCTTCCGGCACTAGTTTAGGTCCGTAGCTTAGAACGCTATATGCATCAAATCTCTTTTTTTATCATTTAGAGCCTTACGCAAGTAATGAGGTATTCCCGAACATTGCTCGCACTTCCTCGGCCAATCGATCACTAGTCGATAATGGGTAAGTGAACTTATTTTTGTGGTGTAGACAATATTCGCCTAACACGGCGAATAATGTCTACACTAGTCGATATATGATGGAATAACCCATCGATGGTTTCAAATACAACGAGAAAAAGTCCCATAAATAGCGAATCATACAGTACACAGCATGTCAGTTAACATACGTTTAATTTGAAGTAAAATTAAAAAAAGACATGCTCACGTGTTTTCTCGAAATCTAAATGACTATTACAAACTGCCGCACAGTTTGTATAGTCGATAGTAAAAGGTAAGTGACATCAAAGTCGATCAATGAAAATTGCTAATGTGTGAAATCACTAAAATTCTCTTAAATCAACTTGTCCTCGAGTTACAAAATAAATCGATAAATTGGCGGGTTGATATGTATTTGAAATGTTTCGATTGATGGGGCTGTTCCATAAACCAATGCAACTTATTCAAGAAATCTTCGCAATGTCAGAATCTGAGCAACAATCCACCCACCCCTCCCCTAACCGAACAACAGTCAACTAATACCTTACCTTATTAGGGTTATTGATAGTGATAGTGGCTCGGATTCTGATATTGATCCAAATCTACCAACGTATTTTTTACATTTTCAAATAAGGATTCTAAATTCAATTAGAAAATAATGTACGTCAATAACGTTGCGCTAAAAGAAGATGTACCTATTTATATCGCAAGCATACATTGAATTTAAGCGAAAAAAATTTACTCGCTAGTTTGATATTAGAATATATAAGACTAAAATGAATGTATTTACTGTTTGTAAATTTTGAGAGTTGAAATTTCACTCCGCACCAAGAGCTAGGTTACCATTTCAGAATTAAATAGAATTTAATGAAATTCGGCTAGAAGTTTGTATCATGAAACAACCAGAAATCTGGGAATTGAGGTTGCGCATAACCTCTTTTGTGGCTAAAGTTTTTCGTTTCAATTTTTCGCTCATTCCATTCTCGTCTTTCTATTTTGAGAGGAAAAACTGTATGACCATTCCCCTGACAGTGCTATTCGTATTTGCGCCCCTAATTCCTTGAGCCAGCTGCTTTTATAAAGCTATGTAGGACGTGTAGTGTTTTTTGCAACTTTTCATACTGTATTTCTAGTGTTCGTTGTGTTTTATAGTGTTGGTATCTGTAAGAGAATGCCATGATATTGTCACTGAAACATAAACATGTCTTTGTGGAGGTTTAAAAACTATGTAGTTTCTTACGGCTTTCTTAGCTATTATTTAGATCGAAGAAGTGTAGCGTTAGGTGTCATCCAGCAACTTTCCATCGAGTGTCAGCAAAACCGCTAATTTGAAATCGCTTTGGTTTTACTTTAAAGGGCTCTGTGACTGGTTCCGCTAGATAACTAGCAACAGCTTCTCGACCAATCAAGCACAGCTGTAGAATCAGTCGTGACTTAATTCTGCGCGTTTTCTCCGGTGATTTTAATGGTTTTACTAGGAGAATATAATCTGTTTAAATTCTCACGGTTTCACGGAGTCCTTATTGGTTCTTTTCAATTTTCGTTTTTGTTCCGATCAGTCGAAATGACTACTTCTATTTAAATTTTGACCCTCAATCGAAAAGTGTGAACTGCTAGAAAAAGTGACTTGATAATTTTTAAGTGACTGTGGTTGGCTCCCGTTTGACGTAATTATTTCTAAGATTGGAATAATATAAAAACATTTTGTATGTTTATTATGTAAAAGAATTTTATTCTGAACAGTCTTCTGTTCATTTGCTACTCTTTCATCATACCTGAGATGGTGAATATTCTGATCAATACTGCTAAGGGATAGTTTTTACTCTAAATTAACTGAACGATTAGTAAAATCGCTTCGATATTCAATTGTTCTCTCGAAACGTGTCAATTATGTAGTCTGCGAGGTTAGATGAACGAATATTGGGTGATTTAGTATTATCAACTGAGTTGATAACGTGAATTGGCCATCGTAAAGAGTTGCAAAACTTACGTTTCGAGCGTGAGCCTTTCCGCGTCATTCGTTCTGACGAAGGGCTAACGCGGCTCGAAACGTTAGCTTTGTATCATTTTACGGTGGCCAATTTACGTTATAAACTCATTTGATAATACTAAATTACCTTGTTGTACTCTCCCACTGACGCAGCACCACAGTTTCTGTAAAGACTTTCTCCCTTAATTTATTTGAATAAACATTGGCAAAATTCTAGTCATTGTTTATTGCCAGACCTACCTGGATCTTTGTGCATGGGCACGACACTCGACGTTAACAGTGACCTTCCCCACCCAGGAGGAGAACAGAAACTGTTGAACTGCTGTCAGGGAAACAGGACAAGATACTTGGGAGGGGGGGGGGGGGGGGGGGGGGAGAGAAGGAGTTATCTGCGAAGTATTAGCAACCTATCGAGGAGGGAAAGCGATACACGTTGGTGCTTCCCGTTTAGCTTCAGCGCGTTTTGAGCATTGATCATTGTTGTCGGCTGGTACGGTCAGTTACCTGGGCACTGAACCTTTCCTTTACCATTAAACTACTTGCTAGAGGTACTGGTTGATTTTTATTTAAATGGTAGTACCAAACACAGAATCAGTATAACCAATGTGTTTTATTATTTGACCTAAATAAATCTTAAACTCTGTGACAACAAAGTTATATAAACAAATACTCTCTTTAAGATAAATATAACTTTGTGAATACGTAAAAAAATTCATTTAAGAGATAACATTCCCCAGTTACACGATCCAGTAGTTGATGCTTACATTAGGTCCACAATTTCACTGGTTGAAACAATTCCGTTTGGGGCTCGGCGGAATTCAGCCTGTCCTTGGTTTCCTAGCTCAAAATTCTTCCCAGCTCCGCGCGTGTTTGAAATTGAAATTCGTGAACTCTGACGGCAGTAATTAATAAGTGAAAATTAAGCGCGCGAAAATTTTATACAATGAAGGAAGTGGACGCTGAATCATATACCACATCCCTTGGAGCATTGAGAATTTTGTTTGCCCTGCTTCGACTCAATTGTTGGTTAAAGTTCAAATTTAGGGCCGTCGAGGGCCATTTTCAGTTTTGTCTTTGTGTACTTTTAGACCCTAGGAGAAAATAGTGCCGTTTCAGTGCCTTTACAAGCGAGACTCGTTGCCTTGATCGCGTAACTCGGACATAACGCTAAAGTTCCATGCATAATATATGATGTTCAGCATATTTTCATAGACATGGATAAGTGAAAAAAATATAGCTCTGTCCTGCATTTTAAAATATTTCTCCAATATATTTACAAATATTTAATTTGGCTCTGATACGTGTCTGTTTCCTAACACTCATCCGGGATATAACTAGAATCCATCCGTAAATGTGTAGTGCATTTAAAGCCTCCATTAGCAATTACTCTCTTACAGGCTGAACCTGTTTTTGTAAGAGCACCACAGCGCCTGCGTGGAGTGGTTACTTTACTGCTTGGGGTCGAGGCTGCTTCTGGGTAGGAAAGGTTCAATTGGCGTTTGGTGTATCCCACGGGACCTTTAGGTGTCAAAGTCAAAGCTGATTCGTCCAGACTCTCGATACTGTCTGAGATAGGAGGGAAAAAGTAAACAAGCAAATTAACTATTGAAGTCACCAGTAGTAAGAGCCTTAAAGCGCTTTTCGATTGATTGTCGTAAAACCAAACCCAAAGTAGTCACAACGGCCAATCAGAAGAAAGGAAAATACTTTGGCAGCCAATAAGAACTCAAAACTGCCTGAAAGGCGGGAAAACGCGGACGACCAAGTCGTCATTGGTTTGAGTTTTGCATCTGATTGGTTGAGACAGTAGCGCAAGTTTTCTGGACCAATCATATAACGAAGTAGAGCAAATCAATGCAATTACCCTCGACGCTCAATTGAAAAATGCTTTATCATCAAGAGTTTAACTCGCAAAGGATTGACTTGATTGGTCGACTCGCCATGGCCTCGCTTTGAATTGTATCATGAGGTTACTTCGAGCGCTTTTCTGTTCAATTCTGTTTTCGCTTGTGTAAAGCTTTAGAGAGGGCAAATCTCTAAGTAATTGGAGGTGCTCGGAAAGTTTCTGCTGCGATTAAAGTTTTGGCCTCCAAGTATGCGGGCAATTAAACATGTCTAATGAAAGTCTGAAAACTTGGAACGAAAACATGTATATCAACGTAGTATGTCGATACATTAACTTATGTAAAAGACGCACAAACAATTCTTACCTGTTGTGTCCAGCATGTTCCTTGTGTTATAAGGAGTTTCATGATAACCAAGATATTTCGCCGAATTTAATGCCAGAGGCGAAGATTTAGAGACTCGATCAGCGTTAGACGGATAAAATTTCTTTGTTAAGTAGAAGTATAACCAGTTCCCTAAAAGAATATGTAAGCTATTGTAAGGTCTTCACAAGAATTAAATAAAAGCAGGGAAAATACCTCGTCAGACAACCAAATGGGTCTGGGTTTCTCCTTGAATGGAGACGATTTGAAGGAAAACGTATGTATACCAATTTCCCATTTCCGAGTCATTTTGAGGGTTTTCTTCAAAGCGAGGCTTGATCTACATTCTTTTCATTAAGATGATATGATTTGCTCGTACAAACAATTCAAATTACTGATTCAAAAATGGCCCATTTAAGGCAATGAAGTCCAGTGTTTGAGAAGTAAAAAATAATTCGTAAATACATTTTTCCAACGGCAAGTTCCCTGATGAAGCTTTCACAATTGTATGGAAGATTCGTGCCAATCGGTAAACTCAACCACAGACAGACCAAGAAAAATTTAGTTGTAGTAAAGATGTCATTTTTCCGCAAACGATCATTGATGGGCAAAAATTATCCAATTGTCTCAAAGTTCTTCACCCGTCGCATAAACTTCTATCTTTTAAGACAAACACAGTTTTATGATGTGCCAGTACTTACCTAGTAGAGCCACAGAGATGATCGATGAAAGTGTACTGTACGATAAACTGGAGTCAAAATTGATCTCGCTCCATGCGTTGATCGGTACTGCGACCAAGAGAACAAGACGAGTGAAGAGAGGCGCATTCAGGAACAAAATACAAAGGGTCGCTAAGAGGAAATACCCAGCATGCATCAAGCAGGTGGTGACCACCACTAGTTTGTCTCCAGTTCCTCCTAGATGTCGTGTCAACCAATTAAGTCTGTTGTCGATTTTATCTTGCATCTGATTGGTCACCTGAGAAAATAAGTTACATGTTAACACTTGTTTTAGAAACTGTTTCCTGAAGTAATCATTTTAAGCAAACGACAATTCTATGAATAGCTTCTTTTTTTGTTGAGGACAAAGCATGTAAAAGTCATTAAAAAAATACAAGCATAACCAAGACACGTAGTTTTGTTTTAATCAGACTTGTTGATTTCCCATCAGATTTCTCTTACCTCAATTAAATATCCAATAGTATCGTTGATAATTTTCAGATTTTCCATTGTCTGATTGTAATGTTGAGTGGTCTCACTGTGGTACGACATCATTTGAAGGGTGCTGTGGTCTACAACCAAATACAAACAAGTTTAGAAGAAGAAGGAAAAACAAAAAAATTGACATTGTCTTTGATGCATAATTGCACCAGTAGAGGAGAAGGGCAGAAGCTTTTTGATTGGTGCAGAAAGAAAACAATCCAGAATTGCTCACCCGCGCTTTGTATCCACCTTGAATTCTTATTGGAAGCACTTGATTGGCCATTGTGATGATTACGTTGGGTTTGATTTCTGAATACCCAGTAGAATAGACTATAGCTCTGTGGCCCTTATTAAATTTCGTTTGGGTCGTTATCGGCTGAGTTCAACATCAATTTTTTAACAAGAAATTCCTTCTAAGTCATCTAGTCATTGTCTCCATATAATCAGAGTCTCTGTTACCTATCTTATTCCACACTTCTTCCGCCTTGCTGCGAATATCGTTTAAGTCCTCTAAAATTAAGCGGTGGCTAATTTTACGGTTCAGATCCTGTTTCTGAATTTCTGTTGTAGCACTCTCTGTTTATTAAAGAACAGAAAATAGTTTTACGTTACTGGACAAAGAATTGACCCTTCCGTTGACCACTGTTAAATTCTACTTAGTTTGTTTACGTGTATTTGTATCTATTTTAATGAGTTGATTTGGAGGCTCACAAGCTCATTAGACAAAACATTTACAACGTGTTAGAACGTTACCAGGACAAGGTAGAAAATTTATTCTCAAAATTGAATGTTCTGATGAAGGTCGCTGTACTCTAAAATGATTAACTACAGGCTCTTTCTTAAAAGAAGGAGGGGGACAATAACCAAGCGAGGTTGAAGGAAAGAACTTTCTTTGATCAAAAACTCTCAAATAAACAAACCAAGCTTGTCCTGGACCGTTTTTGCCATCTCTTTGAGCTGTTTCCGACCGCTGTCTATCATCATTCTTTCCTGGTGCAGCGCCCTGACATTCCCTCTTAATGAGAACGAGATCGACCGCTGCACATCGTCATAGCTAGCATGTAGTTTCGCTTGCTGTCTTACAAGACGTTCCTGACCAGCGGTCACTCTAATCACGGTATCATCTGCTGCTTCTGTCAGTCTCCTTTGACCTTCCTGTTCGATTGAACAAATATAGAGGTTGAGCCTATCAACAGGCTTTCTGGTCGAGGAGGGGGGAAGGGGAAAGTGGGAAGAAATAGAGGTAGGAGGGGGTGGGGGGAGGGGGGAAGGGACGTGGGGAAGAAATTAGAAAACCTTGCTGCTTCCCTCCCGCCTTTCCCCACCGATCGTATTATTCGAAGCCATTTCTTCTTCAGCCCTTCCAAGCAAAGCCTGCATTTCAGTGACAGGTCAATAAATGCTCGTATGGGCCTCATTAGTAGAATGTTTAAATGACTCTCGTGATATCAGCTGACAAACCTTATCATCACAGCATTAAATAGTGTAAAACTCTCAAGTCATTTTTGCCCAATTTGAACATGTTTTAAATGAGATACTCACACCTTTTAGACAGATTTCTCGTCACACAAATTGACACATAGCTTGTCTGAAGAAAAAGAATAATTGAAACTTACTTGTAAACCGTTCATAAGCTCCATTTGATTTTCTGCTTGACTGGCCAGCTGATTGACAGTAAATTCTGTCTTCAGTCTGAACTGCTGCTGCCGAGTGGCGTAGCAGATCGACCGCGCCCTGTTGCTGATTATGTGATAACTGTTCCATGTATTGGCATCCATACCATTTGTGCAATCACGCAGTTCCTATACCAAAATTACAAAAGAAAATGACCTTGACTTTGGTTTCCACATCTTTTTTGATGATTGTCAAAACTGGCCTCGCCTCTCAAAAGCGATCATTGAAAAAACGAAACTAAAATTTCATCAACAAAACTCACCATGTCGTCTGTGCACTTGTACGTTCTTCTTCCTTCAGATTTTGATTGGCAGTTTAAGAGAGCCACGCCCAGCTTTGCCAGTTCAACTTCATTGATATCGCTACAGGATTTCTTGATTCGGTTTATGACCTAGTGGTCATGAAAGATTGCAAAAATTTTATATGACAGAATCGTAGAACAGTTTCACGCGCACTCTTCCTCGCGTGCTGAGCAGGCCCCGTACTATAGAAACATTTTAAAAAGAAGTGAAAATAATCCGCGTTTACCATTTCATGGTTGTTCATTTATCTATGGAGTGTTTACCTCTATTGTCAAAAGATAATTTATGAAATTAAAAATAATGATGCATTCTTTCAAGATTTTATCGCTTACAATCTGATGACAGGTGTCCAATGGAGTAAGATTTCCCATATACTTCTTTGCCTCAGCTAAAAATTTTTCTTCGGCTGTCGTCATTTCAAAAGGAACAGGGCTGTTCTTCAAATAACGACCTTGCTCTGCTTCAGTGTCTTCAGTAGACGAGCTGGAAAACGGCCACCAAGCATTTGTGGATACCAGTAACATGCACAAGAACGTGTCGATGAACAAACAACGCTTTAAATTCATTCTATTTGTACTGAAAATAAATAGTATGGTGATTTAGAGTAGCAATGCGTAAGTCACATCCAAAGGTTATTTTTGAAAACATAATTACAGTCACAAGTACTATATACACGATGCTTATGCGCAGTAACTGTATGATAATTGGGTTTAACAAGTGAGTTAATCATCACGAAATTGACCACCAAAGAGAGTTTCAAACAAGCTGGAGTTTCGAGCGTTAACCCTTCGTCAGAGCCTTTCGTTGTTAGCCCTTCGTTTCGCTCTAACAAAGATCTACAAGAAAATTTGTCTGCAAAAGTACAGCTGGACTTCAAGCCGTGGTGAACAAAGTCAAACCTCAAGGAGTCTCTTTTACGATGGTCGCTTTAGAAATAGCGAGCCACGACAGTCGACGCAAATACGCATCCAATTCTTGCTAAGACAACCGTGCCATTAAATTCCGCCTATGAGAACATTCTAAAAATTTACTGCCTAAACATACATGAGCTTCTAGATGACACTTGACTTTGCCAAACAGAGCGCACATTTTCTAGGAGCCTTCAAATCTTACCTGACAAACGTCCGCTAAAACTTCTTGTAGTTCAATAATGAAATACTCGATTCTGCCTTCGTAGTTGACATTTAAATCAACTGTGCGCAGTTGCACGTGAAATTTTAGCTCCACTAACTAATTATCCGAGGTTCTCTGTGACGTTTCAATTTTCGCGCGTTAATTTCTTTTGTTTTTGGAGGAAACAACAGGTGACACAATTCGTTTTTCTTTTTTTTTTTGTCCAAATGAAAACTTGAAAGGCTGCGATCAATGTTCAAGTATTTGTAACGAATGTGAAACTAAGAAAAATTAAGTTCCTCTTGAGGATTCGAACACGAACCTGTAGTTGCGCAGCCGGATGCCTGTAAAAGCCCGTGAACTACAGCGAACTTGCTGGCCGTGGATTGAAGGTACATACTGATATAAGCGTTCTCTTTGTAAAGGGACAATGAGATATAAGTGGCAGAGCAGATATAGACAAAGACACAACTTTGGGGCCAGAAGCAAACCTAGTAGGGAAGGCAGGAGAAAATGCGTCTAATCCACGTTTTAATGCGTAAATTTATTGTCTGACACCTGGAAAGGAGTACGCGAGCGGGTGAAATTGGGTCCATACATAAACCTTATATTATAAAGTTTATGTATGGACCCAAAATTTCCCTCATGATATGACGTAAGCGTATTTTTAAATACGCCTACGTCATACCATGGCGTAAAAAAAGGAGTTGAGGTCGCAGGAAGAGCAATATCCAACGTCACATACTGGTTTCATATGTCACTAGGGTTCTCTAAACTGTTGAGATCAGCAATTTTGCGGAGGTGTGAGTGAAAGAGATGACGAATTTCAAGCTTCATAGTGGAGTAGGGAAGTTTCTGTTTAAAAATAGTATCACTAGCGAAGATAATTCCAAATTTCGAACCATTCGTCAGTTATGTTAGCGGTCCTCTTTAGTGGCTCTTGAGGCAATATCCGAATCAATTTGATCGCAGAGATCGACGCAAAGTGAGGGGGAGGAGGAGGTGGGGGATGGAGGCCGCCTGGAACACACCTTGTTTCTGAGACAGAACCTTCCATTTGCTTCAAATAGATTTTAAATAATCAGACACAATTCATCTGAAATGTTTGAAGTAAGCTTTACTATAACAGACCAACAGTTGAAATATGTCCGAATTTCATAAATTTTGAAGAAATACGTTTTGTACAAATATATAATAAATCTCTATTCAATAAAGCAATAATCTCAAACTCTTAAGAAGGCCTAAATCTGTAAAATCTTAAGTTTGTGCGTTTTGAACGCAAATTTTTAACCAAAATCATGGCATTTGGTAATTGTTAACATTAAGTACTTTATGACTGAGTTTGGTGGAGCCGCACGAGATCTTAGGGTCCACAGGGTTTTCAAGATAAGACGGCAATCGGCGCGTTTCACCGTCTACACTGAAAAACGCGCCAGTTATTTCCGAATGTGTGTGGCTCAATTTTCGGCATGGAGGCATGTCAACGATTACCCCTTGTATCGCCTCCTAGAATCACAGTCCAGTTAATCAAAATCTTTTTGACGACCCTGGGTCCGCACGTCGTGACTGAGGGCCAAAAAAACCAGTCAGTCCACTCAGCCTAACCCAACTCAGTCAATAAGCGTTTCACCTTAGTCGCTTTTCCCCAAATACACACTTTACACAATAACTATAAAAGCGTCCCCTAACGCCCTTTTGTTCCCACGCTATCACAACCAGGGCAACGCTACCCATACGCTACGCAACCCAAGAAAGAAACATGGAATAATCACTTATTAATACCTTGTCCTGCTGCATGCCATGCCATGCCATGGATAAAGTAGAAGAAAAAAGATAACAACAATAAAAATATTTAATCACGTTTTAGCAAACGGCAAGCGGCAAAACTCAAACTTTTGCGGCGTGCCTTTCAACAGTTTGTGAAATAAGTTCAAATATTTGCTTTTGTTGTGTCAGAAACATAGAACCTACTAATTGTGAATGAGATAAAATTTTAAACTTTTCTGTAATTTTAAAAGAAGGCAAAATCAGTAGTGAATTCTATCGTTTACACTTGCCGTAGCCATTGATCGTAATAAACGGGTTAAAAAGGACATTAACGGAGAATGTCAATCGGCAAAAAAATTGAAGTTCTTGCCGCCTGCCTTTAGCCATTAACACACTTGAGTGAACATTCTTGCATCAGTACTCATTTTTTTCTTTTCTATACGAGGCTGGTTAAAAGCTTGAAAGGAAGAACGAGTAAGGTCAAGATTTTCACCGGTTGCCGTTGCCATTATCGGAAACATGCAGGGGCATTTTAATCACCATTAGCCGCACCCATCTCCGATGAAACGTACATATGTATTTTTCTTTAGGAAAAAAAAGTAAAATAAAGCCGAATATACTCTTCTTTATGTATGTATATAATCTTATATAAAAACACTCTTTTAGGTAAAGCTTATACTGAAACACACTTATATCTTTTATAGCACTCTTGAGGAATTTATAAAATATAATATAAAAATGATATTGTTTTGGGAAAAAAAATCTTCAAGTTTCGATCAGCAAAAGCCGAAAGCCTTCTGTCGTTTTCAAATTGCTATGCAAGGGGCAAAGTTATACGAACAAGCTGACAAATAAAATGTATCACAAGATAACAGGTCATTTAGAGTTAACATCAGAGTTGAAAACGTAAATTGGCCACCGTAAAGAATTTAAAGGCTGAAGTTTCGAGCGTTAGCCCTTCGTCAGAGCCATAGACAAAGGGCCAACGCTCGAAACGTCAGCTTTTAAACTCCTTACGGTGGCCAGTTTACATTTTCAGCTCATTTGATTTCACCAAATCATCTTGTAATACCTCTCCCAGACGCAGCTCTACAGTTTCTTTAGAACCTTACCCCCCCCCCCCCCCCCCTAAAATTAAATGTTCTGTTTTTCTTCGAATGTTACTCAGGACGTAAGTTCGTTCTCTGCAAGAGACTACCTGAAAACATAGAATAAATTAAAAAACATTCAGTATTAAACACTGTCAATGGAGCTCTCACTTCTCACACAAGGTGCCTGCTTTGTCTCTGGCCAGCGGATATATTCCAAGCATGCCTCTCTCAGGTCGCGTAGCCGCAACTGTCAAATGTTCTGCATGTAATCCTCTGCAGGTGTTTCTGCAGCTATCTCCGTCACGATGTCCATCAATTGATCTTGTGACTGTTCGTTTTCCATCTTATCTTCAACCCCTAATGAATCCACAACACTCTCTGGTTCATCATCTACCATTTCACCCGCTGTTTTGATGGGGGTTGGGCTACACGAGGGTATACTGTCAGTTTGCTGCTTCTCTGTCTCACGTGGTTCTTCGGTAGCCTGTCAGTTCAATGAAGCAAAAACTGGCGTTTTGAGCTTAATTTCATTTTAATGTTTGAAAAGAATTCCTAATTTGATGAGAGCATATCCCCTTTTCTTACGAACGACACCACTTTATTATCCTCAGGTAGTCACTGGTTTACGGTTTGATTTGTCTGGGAAAGACTACGTGAGCAATTGAACCAACTCGCTAACCTTTTACCCTTTAGAACTTATTACCTTGTAACTTCTCTCTATAATTTCCCCACATTATCCAGCATAGAGGTAATGAGAATAACCAAATTTATCAGGTAGAAGTTATCACCTTGACCTAACACCAGATTCCCGTAACTAATTTACATGGGAATGTGTTACAGCCCGAGGAGAGAATTAGCAGTCGGGCCCCGGTTGTGGGAATGTCGGATAACGCTATCCACTGGATGAATCGCTATCCGGTGAATAGCGCAATGCATTTTATGAACAGTTTCCGCTGGATAGCAATTTATCCATCGTCTAGTGTTATCCGCCCTTTGTACTACTGGGCCCAGATCTTTTGAAATTACGTGGTTCAAAGTATTAAAAATCCCCCTGTTTTGGACACCTATCTATAGATGCTCACCCACAACCATTTAAGTATGCAAAAAGATTCTCACTGACAAACAAAGAAGATGAATCAAATTTACCCACCTTGCCCTCCAATATACTGGCAAAGGCACTTTCAGATATCGAGCTCGCATCAGAGTACACTCTTGATATATCTGAATTAAGTCCTTCTCCCACACCAAGCATGGTTCTGTCAGGGTAACTTCCTTGAGATAAAACCTCAGCATTATTGTTATGGGTAGGACATTCTGCAACATGAGGCCCTTGCAGAGCTGATCCCACTGCTACACTTGTTGAAGGATTCTGTATGTTGGGTAACACCTGTTTAGTCTGATCTGGCATGGGATCATCTAGAGTTTGAGTGGACACTCTGTTTGAAATCGTTCTTGAATTGGAAGGGACTGGAGACGTTTCAAAGTGCACTCTGCGATGAACTTTAGGCCTACCAAAAACAAGAAGAAAAGAGTTGAAAATCTAGTAACACATGGCAAGTAAGTCTATGTGTTATGGAATGTCCCTTCACCTTCCTCCTGAAGAGTGCACTTCATAGCACATGCTAGTATTTGCTTCACATTTAATCTTTAGGATCACTGGAAAATAATGAAGTCATGGTCTTAAAATGATATCTGACCAATCAGTAGAAAATCACTCACTTGGGTTTTGTTTTCCGTCTGTGTGCTGGCCCAGTTCCTTTACCTAGACTCCTAGAAAAATCAGAAAATTAAAATGCATGTTAGAGAATAAGTAAACTCAATGTTATACAGCAACTTACACGTTTGCATCAGCTGGCTTTGATTTATGTGAATAAACAGAGCGGCAATAACAAGGTAACTTACATGATCTTCAAGGGCCAAGTTTCAGGCCATTCCACAACATAATTTAGTGAAGTTGGTTGAAATGCCAAAGTTCTTCTGTTGTATCCAAAGGGATTCAAACTGGTGCGAGAATTGTAACGAAGATTTTCCACCCCTGCTGACTACAGAATTAAGAAAATAATTGGTGAAAAAAATGACTGAGTTGCACCTCAGGAATTGCTCAAGTCAGGTTACCTGTAGCTTGGTGTGGGCATGTGAGACTTTGAAAGGGGTGATGATGTTATTTCAGTTGCAAGATTTTGGAAATTCAATAAGAGACTTTGTGCCATTGACACTCTTGGGGCTAAAAAGGTTATATTTATAACAGTAATCAGTGAACAACATTTTAGCGACACTTATTTAAGTCAGGATTCTGGTTATTGTGAGAGATTTGAAAGGCTCACTTCCAGCTCAAGTCTTTATAGTACAAGAAGTGGCCCAGCCTGACTCCCTCTGCCTCTTTTTACTTTCAAAATCTCTCTGAAGTTTGAAAAGTTATTACTACTGAATTACCAAAGAAACTGAAGTAAATATGAAATTCCGACTAAGGCAATACCAGCATTAAAAGTCTCTGCCATTTCATTCTCCAGATACCACATTATGACCTAACTAGGTAATCAAACCCTTAATGATTAAATAGTGAAAAGACACCTACAGGACTATCAGACCAGCCACTGAATGCATAACCCAGTCTGTCTTGATTCTCAGCAGCTGTTGTTCCCCGTGACTTAGCAGGAGGAAATGTCAGGTTTAATTGTCTGTCTGCCTTGGCCTGCATGTACAGTGCTGCCTTCTGATCACTGTCATCCACAGCATGTTGTAACCCTGCATTTAATCTGCAAAGGCAAATTTTAAGATTTATATCAAGATTTATTAGCAGGGAAAAATGCTTGATCTAATTTTGAAGGTATATTAATATCATGGGTGACGCAATGGCTTGAAGGTTAATGCACTGGACTCCAGATCAAGAGATCTGAGTTCTTGACCTGACCATGCTAATTTGTGGTGTTCTTTAGCAAAGTTCTTTATTCTCTCAGTGGTTCTCTAACACCCAAGAGTATATATATAAATGGGTACTAACCAGTCATCAGGGAAGCCTGATTAAATACTGGGAGGTAACCTTGTAATAGACTAGCATTCCATCCAGGGGGGAAGAGCAATACTCTTAGTCATTTCATGCTGAGGAAACCCAGATAAGCTCCAGTTGGGTGGGCCACTAGGCTCAAATACACATTTATTCTAATATCACTTGATGTATCAGTTTTAACTAATTGTTCCCAAATGAATAAAGGGGTGTGTTTCTAAAAAACTGTAGTGCTGCATCAGTGGGAAACCGGGGGGGAGGGGGGGTTTATTAGCTGAGTTAATAATGTGAGTTGGCCACCCAAACTTTTCCGAGCCAGCAGTGTACATTTTGTGATTTCTAAAAGGTGATTCCATGACCTCACAAGAGCTGTTAGGAAAGCGAAGCTCCCCTTTTTAAATCATATAATTTCATTTGTGTTGCCTCAAATTGCTCAAACTTAGATAAGTTCCTTTTCCTTTCATCAGCTCACTCTTTGGGAAGAACTTATTAAATAAAATTGTTAAGTTTTTCTCTGAATATCAAATTAACTCTGCCTGTGTGGCTGCCTTTCACTGGACTATTAAAGCTATCTTCTCCAATCTTCTGTAATCAGATACAGTTCTTAGCCTCACCACACCAAATACTGTCTTGATTGTAATTTAATGCCAGCTTGGAATTTACCTTCTGTGAGCCTTCTGACGGGCAGCTGACAGGTCAGGGAAAAATGAAGAGTTCTTGCTTAACACTGAGGTAGGCTCTAAAGAAGGGGAAAGCTGTACATCATAGCAGTCCATGAACATAAAAAAACCTCACAGAATGCTTTGTCCAGAAGGCCACATCTCACAGATTACTATGACATTTGAGGAGGCGTGGAATGGGTTAAATCACCACCACCCTTGTTTTCTAAATGACTTACCAATACCCCTCCAAGATGTTGTGAGTAAGTTTAAACCCATTTTAAACATGCAGAGTAATTACAACTTGAGTCAGAAGAATGATGTGGGTATGAGAGCTTATCAAAATGCTCCTGGTTTGGCCTTATTCCATAATTTGGAAATTTTCTGCATAAAATATGGAAAATTGCCAAAATGGCACAAGAAAACTTAAAACCAATAGCTGCCTGTGGCTCTTGTTCATAGAGTACATTAAGTACATCAAGTGGTGAAAAAGAAATAAAATGAAGAATTGCCTACCACTTGAGGGATTTACCATAGGTAAAACATCTTCCTTTGCTGGTTCATGGACATCAGTTGTTGAGTATAATGATAACCCTGTCTACAAGTTAAACATTAAAATTAAGGATTGATGTTCACACATAATTATATAGAAATACACAATATTCTTCTGTAAATTATCCTCACTATTTTTATCATATCTAATTTTCCAACTGCACAAAACTGAGAACAAATAATGCGTGGACAGAGTACAAATATCCTGAGCTATTGTACAGTTGGTTATTTTGTATTTAAAAAAAAAACCTGTTTCACAGGTTAGCTGTGCACACTATGCTTCTGTATCTGCTTTGCTTTTCCTGCCTTATGAGAAATGAGCAGAAACACTTGGCAGGAAAAAAGCAGTTGGATAATAAATAGCTTATAAGACATTTTGGTGTGTGGTATTGCTTAGGATATTTATTCATTGTCTGTATTTCTACTCGTCCTACTGGCTCGTCAAAATACAGCACAACTCATAAAAATACCCAGGGATACTCCACATCAAAACGTCCTCTAAGACATATATATTACATATCTTAAATTAAATCATTTTAATACTTGCCCAGGCCTACAAGGAAATTTTTTGTTTATTTTGCCAGATAAAACTGTCATGAGTTCAGTGACTGGAGACAACTGCACCCAGTGATCTTTTTTTTCATCCAAATTTTGTCAAGCCTTACCAATCTTCAAAGGCCCCATCTTCCTGCCTCAGAGCAGGAAAAATTTTCATCAGGCATGAAATTGCACAGATTTATCAATTTACTGGCCACATTTTGAAGGAAAATGTAATTCAAGAAAATTTGATATTGCTTTTTCAATGCAAGTCTTTTTGGCAGAAAGCTGCCAAAAGATTAAATTTTCACGCAGCAATCAAACCATTAAGATGGACGATTTGTATCTCTGGATTTTGCATGATGATCAGTACTTAAGATACCCAGAAGAAAACTATCATGGCTCCCAAGTTTACATTTAAGTCGAATCCTGCTCAATTTGTTAATCCATGTGATTGACATTTCATGGTTATTAAAAAATAAGTTAAACGTAAATTACCATTTTTAAATTTGGGAACTGACAATTAAAAAGAGACAATTTTAACATAGAATACTTGGTTCCTTTTTACGAATAAGAAGAAAAAATCTACACCTCATATGATTATCTTGTAGCATTATAATTCATGAAAAATTTAAAGGGCATGTTTCTATGGCTACCAAGTCGGCGCTACGCCAGTTGCTTAACGCAGCATAAATTCCTTATTCAGCGTGAATTTCTCAGCAAACACAAAAGTACACAAAGCAATAGTTGAAAAAAGTACAATGCTTACATTTGAGTTTAAGCTCGGTCTTATCCTAACGTTATTTCAATTATTTATGATGTCTATCGTAGACACTGAACAACGAAATCAAATTACTCCTTAGCGAGAGTATAAAACAAAGAACTTGCCACAGGGATTAAGATTAATTATGATCATAAAAGTAACAAGAAAAAGCCTCTAAGCCATGCAATTAAAGGATTTCTTTTACCTTGCTCTGTTTTTCGTCGATTCGAGCCAAGATTTGCTTGACCGGGTCAACTTTTCTCCTTCGCTGTATGCCGTAATGAAACCGCAAAAAATTAATGATCACGGAGTCAGGAGGAAAGCCAGCTGTTTATTAAAACAAGAAGTAGGCATTACTAGCCCGTAAGATGACAACAATACTCTTACCTTTTTATAAACTATCATTTGACAGCCTTTATAGAATCCAATACGTTATTTTCCCTCCAAGAACAGCTGAGGTTGCGAGGACGACCAAAACGCAACGCTACCACAATAACTATTCGCATACCAACCAATCAAGCACTCCAATTTTCTGATTTACATTTTTCTCCCCTTCTCAATGGTCTTAGCGATCATCTCTGTGCTTCCTGTTTTCTAACCATGGTTGAGAAACAAGTTCAACCATTCCCTAGAATGAAGACTCCGCAATTGTCTGCAGAGAAGGAAATTTAGCAGCGAAACAAAGCGTTACACAATGGCGCGGCAAGCGGTCGCCAACAGCTGCCAATCAGGGTTTACGAACATCAATTAACCTGAGGACCCGTAACAAGAATCTTAAAACATTTATTACCTTCCACAAAAAGAAAACGGAACCAAAATAATCAGAAAATAATAAAAAATTTGAATATTCTGGTTTTATACGCGATTTATAACAATCAACTCAGGAACGACATATTCCCATTGTAAAATAGTGCTGTAACAGGATTGTCAGCTTTGATGACTGATCTCACACGTTTATAATTATTCAAATTACATTGAATATTCAATGACAATGTTCTCCTGACAACTTTCAAAATTTGCTATTTAGCCAATGTCCATTCTCCAAAATATTTCAATTTTTTTTATAATTTAATTTGAGTTCATTTCATATTTAAAAATATAAAATCAACTCAAACTATCTAAACAAAACAACAGATACTATGTTGCTGTTTGTCTGCCCTGATATAGATTTATAAAATAAACAAAGAAGTGGAATATGATCTGAGGTGCAGCCAAGTGTCAGTGATGTTGAAAATTAGTTTGTAATGTAACTTGGCCATGGTAAAAGGTTTTGAAAGCTTAAGTCTTAGGCTTTAGCCCCTTATCAGAGCAAGGTTGAACAGTGAAACATCTTAATAACATGTTTCCCTCAAACCAATTGCAAAGCTACTTTTACAGATAGGACAGTCTGTATGTGTACCAACTATATTTCCATTCAGCAAGGGAAGTAAAATGGTGAGGAGAGAGGGGAAATGGGGAGTGGCAGAAGTGTATGTATAGTGGTTTAGCATTTAGCAGAATTGATTTAAGACCTGCCACAAAAGTGTGCCTCACATCTTTATCAACAATTGTGAGTTATATATTGACTTGCAATGTGCTGGTACACCCAAGTATAGTTTGTTATTAGCCACATGTTATCGATAAATTAACCCTTTAACTTCCATGAGTGACCAAGACAGAATTTCTCCTTACAATATCAATACAATATCAACCAGAAAAGTGATGAGAATAAAGAAAAAGATCAATTTGCAGTTAAATAGTTGATTCAATATTAAATTCTCTGAACTAACATTAAAAGAATTGTATGTTTGACAGTAAGGAGAATTACAAATTTGATCTGGGAGTCAAAGGGTTAAAGCAAACTCACACTAAAGCTATCAATCATTGAGCTCCCAAATAACTTGCTGAATTGGGACAATTTCTTAAAAATTTTCTATGTGAGGAAAATTTTGTCATTTGCTATCACCCACTGATCAAACATTTATTAATGATCTCAAAATAACATTCACCCTTTGACTTCTTAGATAGCTGTATAAATTTCCTTGTAAATTAGTAACAAGAACTTAGCGTTAAATCAAAATAACAACTTCTATCTGATAAGTTTGAATATTCTCATCACCTGTTTGCTGGATAACAAATTAATATTATAGGGAGAAGTAACAAGTTAATCACTTCTGGAAGCTTAAGGGTGAAAATAAAGTACTTTATAATACAGTCATCCAGTGGTTGAGAGAAGATCTATAGCTACAGAGATAACAAATATTACTTGTGGTACTGAACAGGAGAATTTATTTCACAATCAAGAGGTTCTTTTGTGGGTGACCATTTCTTTTATCTTCAATGCCTTGATATTTGATTTAACAGTAATACTATAAGGAGAAATAAGATGTTAGTCACTCTAAAGCTGGCATCACACTCAGTAATTTTATGCACTGATTGGTGAAAAAATCACCAGGTGTGTCAGGTGCAGTAATTGCACTTTTTGCTGACCTCTTGCAATTGACGTATGAAATTGCTGACATCTGGCATGAGGTTGGCTATTTTTGCCAGCCCTCATATTTACCATGATTGGTGAGCAAAATCCCCAAGTGTGTCAACAGCTCTTCAGATTTAAGGGGGGTAAATCAAAGAGGCTTTGTTTCCTATAGAAGAAACCTCAAATAACTGATTTTGAGAACAAGCCCAAACAATTGCCTTCCTCAGCCCTAATCATCATCACCCTCTTGTTCTTTTTCCTTTTCATCATCTCTCATGGTTTTTAATTTCTTTATAAGCTCTTTTGCAGGATTGAACACACCATTAGTCTGTGTACCACAAACATAACACCTTTTGCTTTTCTTATAATGTTTAAGAGCACATGCTTCACAAAAGTAGTGTTGACACTTGGTAACAACTGGACTTGTGAATGATTCTCTACAAATAAAACAGGCAAATGGAAGATCATCATCATCATCACTTGCAATTTCGTACTGATGTGGATCTTGTTTGCTGTAATTTCCTTCTTTCCATTCTCGTTCAAGTTGCCAGCCATGTTTGTAGTCACTGCGATCATGCAAAAATTTGCAGCTGTCTCCAAATCCACAGAAACCAGTTTCCTTGTAATCTTTACATATATCTGGCTGATAATCCCAACGAATTGTTGCACGCAAATTTGCTGGCGCCCTGATAGGCCCTTGTCTGAAAGAAAAAAGTTTTTAAAATATATAAATTCCTCTAATTATGTTTCAAAATTAAAGATGTCTTTGAAAAGTAAACAGACAATAAAAACATCATCTGACATCACGCTTTGGCTATAAAAAAAATTTACTGAAATACTTCCCAGAATGATGAGAATAATATCTCAGAGAGTTTTAAACATCAAATTCTTTAGGGGGGAGCACCCCTCCTGGATCCCCCCAGAAGGGAGAGCTGCTTTGTCACATGCCATGCTTGCTATACAAGCATAATACACAATTCTGATAACACATTTTTAACATTTCCTATTGACAACCCTAACTGTGAGATACTAAATTTACACAAACTCCCTCTAAAGATTGGATCTCTTGCTAACTGTTTACGGTTCATCCCTGTATACACTTTACCTGACCATTCCACTAGCAGCATTTCCTTGGGCATTCCCCTTCTTTTCGTAGAATGTCATGTAGTTGTTCAATCCTCTGTACTGTTTGTCATCTTTCTCCTGGCCTTTAAGTTCTTGATTTGTTTTCAAACTCTTCTCAAACAAAGCCTGTGCGTCTCGATCAAATTCGGTATCAATCTCCACAGTTGCTGTGGCTCCGAGATCCTCTGGTCCAATTCGCATTGCAGAACGCGTTGATTTAAACGTAACGTCAAGGTCATCGTCTATCTCTTCACGTTCACGTCTGGACTTCGAATCAAATCCATCAGTCTTCTGAAACATTGGGTTAGAGAGCGGCTTTTTCTCCTTTCTAATCACCGTTGTAACATCTTCATCTTCACTGTCTGACTTTTCAGCTTTCCTTTTGCGCACATTTCGATTCCTATTTGCCTTCTTAAAGAAAGTACAAGTAGGTTTTTGAGACGAAATATCTCCATTACTTTTGGCATTCTCATCCGCCATATTGCATGTCATGTCTAGTGTCCAGTCTCTTCTTGAACAAAATGCTCCTCCCCAGCGTTCACTCAGTTGAAATCATCCGGGTGATTATAATATCATTGTTGTTTCGTATCGGTGTGGTGCTGTTCGTGATTGTGTGGTCACTGTCTGTTCATTTTTACGTTGTGAATGTTCTCTATGTACCCTACTGTACTTGTGATTCGTTTTGTAGCCGTGTTAAAGTGTTCAGTGGATTAATTATCCGTAAATGTCTTGTCTCTCTTTGTAATAAATGTTGTAATTACTGTCGTGTGTTCTCAATGTGCTACTTTAAAAATTTTACGCGATACACTTGTTCTTATTTGATCATAACACTTCAAGTGTTGTGAAGTGACGAGAAATCTTACTGGAGCACCTGATTTGTGCGATGAAAGTATGAGAACTATGGAAATGATGAAAATTGGTTTGAGACTGAACTGAGAGTGACTGATAAAAAACCACATTTCTGATCCACCTAACATCAAGGAGTAGCTTATGTGTAGCCGTACCCTCTCCTCCAGGCTACATGTAGGCGAGCCGTGGAGACAGGTTTTTTGGGTAACGTCACAGAGCATTACATATAAAAAAATCTAGAATTGGTGGTTGAAAATGAATGAAAAATTCATTTTTTTTTCTGATACAGAATGATTACATTTCCTGATGCCATTTCATTTCACTATGCTCAGGGCAGTGGTGGCTGCAGGGTTTGAAGTGTGGGTGCTGATTACAGTTATAATAGGACATAAAAAAGTCTGATTTATAAAAGGAATTGAACTGATTGAAGTGCAATTTGATGTAAAATCATATTGTGAGACTTTAAAGTCAAACACAGCATCACCTTGATTTGAAATCACAAGTATGTTTTCAGACCAAAATTGCATGACATGAAGTCCAGGTACGGCTTGATTATGTCCATTTTGAAATCCCAAAATTCAGTGGCTCATAAACGGGGTTTTTTTTTTTATCTGTGTACAAATATTTTATTGATCCAGTAGAGTGGGGGTTTGAAGAAAGTTGCCGAAGTTGTCGTTCATTTTCCCGCAATTTTATTGGTTTCTTCAAAAAAAGCCTTAAAATCTGATTGGTTGTTGTATTTTAGTACAGCTTCCTCATTGGCTGGGGAAAAGATGCAATTTAGAGAAAACAATGGTGCAGTTTGTGTGTAAATTGTACCAGTGTGAGCCAATCTGATTACAAGGATCACCAGTGATTTCAACATGAATGTAATAAAGTTTGTAATCAAACTGGTTAAACTGGACTTTAGCTTTATGCAATGTGACTTGTTAGCTACTCATATGAAAATCAACTATATTAGAGTTCACTCAGTCCCACAAATTACTGTAAATTTGTCAGTCCTGAATGGTGCAAACATAAAAACAACTAACACAAACAATATTAAAACTTAAGTCAAAGTCAGGTCAAGTGAGATGTAAGTACTTTATTAAACTTCTGATAATTTTTAATGATCAATGACCACCAATATTACTTTACATTCTATATTAAATAACACCAGCACAGCACAACTCCAATGCAACAAACTGTTCATTAGCAAAGTGTTTGGTACAAAAATATCATAAACCCTCAGGAGGATTAATGTGTGTAACAAAACCTTAAATGTAAAAAAAAGTAGAAAAACATCCCTGAAGGTGAACACAATCCAAACATAAAATTTCTTTTAACCCTAGTTTAAAATAAATATCTTATTGGTGAAGTTAAATGTGACACATTTTAAATGCAGAAATTAATAGTCTTTGATTCCAGTTGTTGATTGTATGTACTCCTTTGTTCAAAAAATACTGATCATATGTCAAGAATCAAACTAATGGCTATGAGGTGTGAACCAACATATATACAAAATCAAAACAAAAAAATTAATTTCTAGTTCTTAAATATAATTCTTAAAAGTTCCCAAAAAACTAGGACTTAAATCTTTTTCCCTTTCATACTGTTGAGTATTCCCTACATAAAGAACTTAAAGTAACAAGTGAACATCTAAGTTTTGCTTACTTAGATGATTACAAAGAGAAAAAAGCAAAGAAAAGAGTGTGAATTATACAATGCTTCACGTAAAGAGAGGGTTCTCTTGTGAATACATGTATCTGCAAAGGAGTGAAGTCCCCCAACTTGAAATTTTTGTCAAAGACCCTGAGATAATTTTATTGGTTTGATTTTGTTCTAAAATAAATATTTCTATATCATCAATTATAAACCATGGTAAATAAACTTTTCAACTATTTCTGCTCCAACATGAAGCTTTCACAAAAACTTCCATTAGTCTTTTTAATTCAAAAATTGATTCTAGTAACTCTTCCTCTCACAGGATTTATTCTAAAAATTGTTTATTCAGGGTTTGTCCATAGAAAATTGCATTGCATGTTTTGAGAAGTGACACACATAGTAGTAAATTTATCTCAGACTCCAATGGTTGAAGGCAAAGGAAGATGAAGGGAAGGTGACCAGAAATTTTATCTTCCTCTCTAACAGCAAACTGCTGTTGTAACACCATTCAAAATGGCAACTTCCCAAGACACAATTTCAGCTATGGTTGAGTGTCAGTTGCAAAATTTTAGTGAACAAAATATCCTTGACTAGCTGAATCCTCTGTTGAAAAAAACTATCTGTTCAGCCAGGAGTCAGAAATTCATGTGAAGGAGTGAAGTCCCACAACTTCACAGTTTTGTCATAAGAACCTGAGACAATGCTATAATCATTGAACTGTAAGCATGTCACACCATCTGTGTGACAACGCAATGTCAACAAACGCTGTCCACTTTCTAAGCTCCACATCTGTTTTAAAAAAAAACAAGAAAAAAAAAGAAATTGTTGAAAAACAATAGTTGTAATTTTCACATGTCTGACAACAACATCATTAAAATGTCTTGCTTTTTGTTGTAAGTTCCAAACAGCTTTGAGGTAAAATTTATTGACACCAACAATAATCCTGCCATTCTATTACAATAGGTGTTGGTTTCTCAGGATTGTTGCTTTAACCCTTCAACTCCCATGAGTGACCAAGACAGAATTTCTCCTTACAATATCAATACAATATCAAGCACACATTAGCTATGAGAATAAAGAAAAATATTAATTTGGGGATTACTTGTGGATCAAATATCAAATTCTCTTAACCAACCAAGTAGGAATTGTACAGCAGTCAGTATGGGGAAGTACTAATAAAATCTAGGGAGTGAAAGGATTAAAACTTGTGGCCAAGCTAATTCGTACTAAAAGCAGCTCACTAAAATCACAATTTTACCTTCAGTGTTTTGTCATCCCCTGCACTCACTATTCTCCAACTGTCTGTCTGAAGACATCTGTCAAATGAGTATAACACATGTATCACAACATCATGGCAGTTAACCAAAATATGAAGTTCCATGCAAAATACTATTAATATTATATAAATTTTAATACATAATTTAATCTAATCTTGAGGAACAGGGATGGTGCAGTGGTGAGAGTGTTTGCCTCCCACCGCTGTGGCCTGGGTTTGATTCCCAAACCTAGAGTCACATGTGGGTTGAGTTTGTTGGTTATTGCTTCTGCTCCAAGGTATCTTTTTCCAGCTCCTTGGGTTTTCTTCCCTTCACAAAAAACAACATTCTAACTTCCAATTTAACATGGAAACGGTAGACAAGAAGAACCACCTAATGGAATGTCCATTGCTAAATTCCCATTCCCATTTATTTATTTAAATACCTTATAACACCAGTGTGACCCTCAGATCTGATCCAATCCAATGTGCCAATGCACTAAAATAGATGAAAAGGTAAAAAATTATATCAAACAATATCACATCATTAACAAGAGAAAGGCTACTTACTCTCAAAATAACACAAGGAAACAGTGACCTTTGTGATCATTTGATTACCTTTCCAGTCAGCAGATCCCAAAATTTAAGATTGTGATCCAATGAGCCACTGATAACCTTCCTGCTGTCAAATGTTAAATTTAAACAAGTGACAGCATCATGATGGCCCGTCAGTGTCATAAGACATGAACCCTCTGTCAGGCTCCACACCTGTGAATGAAACACCAACATGATTATAATTATAAAGCAAGTGGAGTCTTGAATTTTTCATTGAATTTTTTTCATTCCAGTCAGATTTTCAATAGAAACAAAAGGAAATCTTTAGTTTGTTTGTTGGGTGGTTTGTAGCTTGGTAGGCAGGCAAAATTCCTTTATTACTGATGAACAAATGAATTTTCTACTAGCTTTAGAAGTTTGTTGCTTACCTTAATAGTCTTGTCATATGATCCAGAAACAATTTTTCTGTCATCAAACTGAACACACAGCACTGCAGCATTATGACCTCTGAATACAAAAATAATGTCATAATCATTAATTATTCTTACATTGGTTATTTTCAAGTGCCAATAACATTGAACAACTTGAGAGTATACACTACCTCAAAGTTAGCTGGCAATTTCCAGTCCTAATGTCCCAGACTTTAAGGGTCTTATCGTATGACCCACTCACTACCTTTTCATCATCAACCTGGTGTCAGAGATGAAAAATTATGGAAATGAATTTGTTTCTTAAGGCATTCATGTTAGACATCGCAAGTAATTGTTAATTTCAAAGAGAGAGCTTGTTAACTAAGTTGTAAGATTTTAAAGTAGTGCCTCTCAAGTTTTCAGAACTGTTTCAAGTTCTTTCCATCCTGGGGTCACTCAGTGCTTTGATGAGGTTCATGAATGTAAATATGGACAAAGTCCTTTATAGCATAATGATAATGATAAATATACATTTATCTCAAGCATTCTCCATATGAGTATGCTCTAATGCACTTTAAACATTTTGTGGGGGACTTTGGCCAAAAGAAATGGAGCAGTTTTCCAATTTTTGAAAGGAGACAGATGGCAGGCTCTTTACCTGAAGGCAACGGACTGTGTGCATGTGACCAACCATAGTCACCTTGCATGAAGCACCACTCCAGTATGACTTGAATGACAGATCCCACACCTTTATAAGGTAAAAAATTAACAGTATTTGAAATAAGCAGAAATTAACCATTAATCCTTTAACTCCCAGATCAAATTTGTAATTCTCCTCACTCAAACATACAATTCTTATAATGTTAGTTCAGAGAACTTAGTATCAGATCAACTAATTATCCCCTGGTTGATATTTTTCTTTATTCTCATCACTTAGCTGGTTGATATTGTATTGATATTGTAATGAGAAATTCTGTCTTGATCACTCATGGGAGTTAAGAGGTTAACACCTTAACATCAGTATGCATATTCTCCATATCAATCTCCATAGCATCCTGAGGTGCTGACAAGGAGAATTTGTTTTACAATCAAGAGCCTTAGGGTTAGGGTTGGTGATCATTTCCTTTATTCCAATGACCTTAATGTGTGATTCAGGTGTGATGTTGTAATGAGATATTAGACACTAGTCACTCCTAAGGTCAAAGGGATGACCAGGTATAACTGATGTTAAACATACCTTGATGGATCTATCCACAGACCCACTAACCAATCTGTTTCCGTTAAGATTTAAACATCTAACTGTCCCTGAGTGACCGGCTAGAGTCAGCACTACATCACAATCACCGCTATGAATATCCCAGACCCTTATAGTCTTATCATAGGAACCACTTGCAATCCTTGTGTCATCAAATTGAACACATGAGATGCCTACAAATAAAATTAATTCATTTTGATCCCCACCTCAACTACATTTGCCAATCTTTAAGATAACCACACAAGCCAAGTATTAACACAAAATATCATTATAAAAGTCAGGAGGGAAGGGTGGGAAGATACAAATTAAGATAAGGAAAGGAACCTGTCAATTCAAGTAAGCTTTGTCATAGTTTGTGCATCTCACAACTTTATCCAAAATCAATCAAGATTGCCATTTTCAATTTGTATTTCTGTTCTTCACTGTTAACTCTCCTTAGCTGGATTAAAATGTCCTTCAAAGTCAAGTTTGAAAAATCTTTCAAATCACAGTGACTATAATTGTGAATTGTCTTAAAATTTTCCACAAATTTTAACAATGGTAGAGCTTTTCTCTAAACTGCATTCCATCCCAAAAATATTAAAAAACTTTGAAGTAGTAAAATAATTAACGATGAAAATCATTATTAGTAATTCATAAAATGAAACAATGTTTTAACAGCCTAAGGAAGGCAACATACACAAAACAAGAAGTTTACCTTGGGTGTGGCCCTCAAATGTGCGAACATTACACTTTCCTTTTAACCAATTCTGATGTAAAAGATACCTTGATGCAAACATCTTCTTCCACTAACAACACAATCATAAATAATAGTATATCATTAATAAAAATTACTATTTTTGCTCATCTTAATAATTCTAATACAGAATAAAAGTGATTGTTACAGTAGCTATAACTGTAAACTTTTTTTCCTTTGTAGCATTATTAATAATTGTTTTTGTTAATAGGTATGGCCTAAAAATGACACCCAAACCCCATATAATCATAGAACTTAACCCTTTCACTCACATAAGTGACCAAGAAAGAATTTCTCCTTACAATGTCTATACATTGACAAGCAGACAAGTGATGAGAATAAAGAAAAATGCCATCAGGGGATTAGTAGTTGATCTAATACCAAATTCTCTAGACTAGTATCACAAAAATTGTAAGGCAGACAGGACAGAGAATTACTATTGGGGGTGAAAGGGTTAAAAACGTTTTGAAAAGGTATTGAAAAATAAATGATTAAATCTGCTGTGGTATACCTGAACTGTCCCTTCAGCCATAGTGTATTTCTTTTTTTCTTTCTCCTCCCCAATCCTTGACAACTGCCAGTCAGGGCGCCTACAGACGGGAAAACATTCACAGCATTGTACTGGTATTGATTTTCATTCTATCGTACCCATTGAAAATCCAAGGATGTTGGAAGTTTACTTTTTAGAATACTTAGACTACAACTGAAAGATGTAAAATATACTCTTAGCCCAGTCCTCTGACATGCTCATCATTTCCCTCCTGTAAATAAATTCAGCTTTAATAAAATTTTGGTTCCCTTCAAACCTCATCTTCTTTATTCCCAAAGGATATTCAATATTTAATTAGTTGCAGGCTCCCCTTTAAAAATTGTTGCTTTTGTTTACTGACCCCTAACTCATTTGACTCATGGAAAATTGCCAAGAATGATGACATATTTCTTTCCTGGGCCCTGTATAAACCCCATTAAAATCTGAAAGATCATTAAGCAAGATAAGCATTCAAAACAATGTCCAATATCACTCAAATAGATGAGCACCAAGCAAATAACTTACCACACTAAGTATTACTGAAACAAGGCATTTTTAAAACCTACCCGCAGAGACTTTTCCATAGTAGGGGGTTACTGGCCAAGTTGTTCCATGTGTGATTGACTTGACTACTTCGACACAAACTCACTGGGAGAAAAGTGATTCAAATTCATATTTATTCAAATCTGTGTGTTGTATCCAATAAAGGAAGACAATAATCTCTGGCCCAGCCTTATGTTGTCGACTATGCCATAACTTAGATGACAGAACTACACAATAAAATGCCAAACTGAGAAGCCAGTCATCAGCCAATTTGTCATCCCTCTAACCCAAAATACTCATAAAATAAACAGCAATTCAAGAATTTCACTGTTTGTGTGAAGTCAAATTAAATCTCTGTGCAGTCAGTAGCAATCCAATTAGAGGAAATACATGCACTGATCAGTGATTCTGTAACAAAATTCAAACAGGTCTATTCGACACCCTCCTAAAAAATATCATTACCCCTCCTCCCAGACTAAACTCTATAAGTCCTTCCCATATTTGGTATAAGCTCACTCCCATGGTCCTCTCTGTCTCAATACCAAAACACATGCACTGGTATAAGAACATCTACTATGATCTACTGCAGACAGCCTTCTTTAATTTTTTTTCCCATCCAAACCTTCAGAGCCAATCTTATTTTTCTGTGAGGTAAGTTATGTCACACCTTCTGAATTACACAAAAAAAGACAGTTGTCATATGCTTTATAATAATAATAATAATCACAGTCTTTCTACAGTTTGCCTCATCCACTGGTGGTTTTCAGGCAAGTCCTGTTTTTTAAAAACTAAAAACTAAAATCTTCAAATGAAAAACTAATAATAATAATTAAACTAAACTTAATAAAATAAAGCGAAAAACTGCTTTTCCAGCTCTGTTTAATCCACTGGACCTGTGTTGTATATCATTTTTAGTCCTTTCAAATTCTCATATCTTATAGGAAGCAGAAAGCAGGAGTAACAAAACCAATGAAAAAAAAACACAAAACACCTTAAATAACAAATAAATTATGCCAAATTGCTGTTTCACTGGTAGCCCTCTCTGGCATGAAGAGATTGAGAGTGAATTGTGTGATCATTGTTTTGTTTATGGTAGAATGTATGTTTTGGTGTTAGGATGCTAAAAACTCTCTTGATGATTTACATGAAAAAATTATGTATGTCTGACTGGCTAAAAATGAGTGCATTTTTCATGTAACATGATAGTAATGTTGTAACACAAGTGAAAATTACAAATAGCACTGCCAAAATTTTGTCCGTCTTGACTTTCTATGATGTTTTTCAATCCCATGTAAAAGTTGTCTTTAAAAATTTGCTTGTGCTTATTAACACTACATTGCACTTGAAATCATTTTGTTACATATGCAAACAAAAGGCAATTCCTGCAACATGGAAAACATCAATTTTGAATACCTTACCTAAGTCAAGAAAGGACAGAATGTGCAATGCCACATGATGTGGTAACCAAGCCAACATATCCTGACAATTTGGAGGGCAGCTTTTATGGAGAACAGGTTCCATGGCAACAGACAGCATATGCATTTGGGGCAACTCACATTCTTCCTGTAAAATAAGAAAAAAAATTACATTCTAGCTTCCAGTGGAAAAGTGTTGTTTATCAGTCACAGCCTACCTTAGCTCACCTTCATTATGGTTGGTTACATCAACTGATCTATTTATTCAGCATTAAAATAAATGTGATTTCTGGTTTTTAGTTTCCTTGAGTTAAATAGTAAAATGAAAAGAATGATGAAAAGAAATGCATGAACATAAGTTTTCTCTCTACCAGAGGTTAACTGCTATGAACCTTTTCCTGACCTCCTGCACATCTGCTTTAAAAATATCATATTTATGTTTTGATGTTTATTTTTAGAATTCCAATTTAAATGTGTCATTGCAGTTAAAAATATCAATGGAAACTGATGTTTTGATGTTTGTTTATAGAGTGCAGTTAAAAACAATGATTTACTTTTGTATGTTAGCTTAATTATACATTAATTGGTTGAATATGTTCGGCCAGATATCTCCTTATTTCTATCATACATGTAACATTTATTTACCCCATGAGGAATGATACAGGCAGTGACAGCTTATTTCAAGCCTTATAAATCCAAAATATTCACTTCAAAACTGTTTAGCATGAGAATTTGAGTATCTTGAAAGTGACTACATCCATCTTACTTCATTCAATCTAACATTAATTTAATGCAGCATATATTTCATGAAAAAACACTCAATTTTTTCCACATGCAAACAAAAAAACATCACCAAACTGATCTAAGCATTCATATATTACTGATATAAAGCACTTTTATACAAGATATTTTTTAAATAAGCATAAGCTCCTAGATTATCATTATTAGCAAGAACATAATGAAAATCAGGAGATATTTTATGGTAAAGTAAGAAGCTTTACAAAATCAATTAGCAATGTTAATTAGCATCTAATTAAGCTAATAAACAATACAATACAAAATGAAATTAGCTCATTAGAAGGGGTTACAAACAAAATTATCCTTTACCTGCAATATACCTTTTAGCTTCAAACATCATAGATTATGCATTGTAACTGCTTTAATATTAATTATCCACAAATTCTGCTGTTAATATTTCTTCAGCTAATAGTCTCACCTATCTGTGTTTAAATTTGTGCAAATTAAGTGTGGTCAGAAAAAATCTTTTCATCTAGTCTTGATTTTTAATTGTGATGGTCGTTTATCAGTTTCTTTTAAAACAAGAATGGAAATTTTTAGAATGAAAAAAGATCAAAATATATATTTAAGAGTAACATCTACCACCAAAGTGTGTTCTGAACATTTAAAAGACCAGAATTTTCAGTTAGGCATTTGATCTTGGAGACTGAAAGACAGTGCTTGTCTTCTATTGTTTTAATGGCCAGCCAGAGGCTATTTAAAAAAGAAACAGTGTTTCATTTCCAACACAGTAATATTAGGCATGGCTGTCAAAGGTCAAGAAAATCCAGGGAAAAAGGGATTACTTCAAAGCATGGGAAAAGTTTGGAAATTTCATTTTGAGTTTAGGGAAAATTTACATCTTTGAAAGAAGTCAGGGAAAAGAGGAATTTCAAGTAAACATAAAGTTGTCCATCTTGTCTTTCATGATGAAAGATGGTGACACTTTCCTTTTTGATGTTGATTATGTACAAAGTGTGGAACAGTCAACAGATTCCTGACCACCATATCCCTTTCCTTTATAATGCAAGTTAAAGTTGGTTCGTGAATGAAATCATACACTTTCATTTTCTTATGAACATTTCATGGACATGAAAGATACTGGATGGGTAAAATAAGCTTATGTTTGGTTTTAAAGAAAATTAATCCTTTTTCCATGTTACCTTGAGGAATTTTCAACTCATGTACACTGTATGTGACTTCCTGAAAGTTTTAATTTTTGGGTGGCTGTGTGGAGAGGTTTGAGGTCATTATCAGGATTTGCTTGTGAAATTGTTAATTCAATTGGTCAAAGAAATTTATGTTTGTCAGATATAGGATAGTTTGAATTGTATAGGTTGTCATGATTTCTTGAATTTTTAGAGAAGTTAACAACTGTTGGTCATTTAGTTATTTGAGAACTGAGACGGCAGTTGACCTCACTTAATCTTTAAGTATTCTGAGTCAGCATAAACCAAGAGTTAGACATGAGATTTATAAATCTCCTCGACAATGCTTAGTAGTTTCTCATTGACAGATAGTATAGAATAGGTTCTTTCAACTTCTGGAAATTTTCAGAAAAAATTTGCAACTGTGGGTCATTTAGTCATTTGAGAACCATGATCAGCAGTGGACCTCGTGCAATTTCTCAAGTGTCAACATCCATGGCTCTGTATTCTGAGAAATCCTACACCAAGCTTTAACAAAAGAGTTATAAATCCCCTCAAGATCTCTAAGCAGTTCCTCATTGACATATTTGTCAAATTTTCAGAAAAGTATCAGACTGTTGGTCATTTAATTGTTTGAAAAATTTGACTGGCTGCCAGTCATATAACCAGAGCATACAATTAACATGAAACAAAGGAAAGTCACAGTTTTTGAAAAAATATAGCTTTGTTCTAACCTTAAATTGCAAAATCACCATAAAGTTTGTGATACATTTGCTTCCCTTTTGCACCTGTTTCATAGATTTTTTTTTTAAATTTTTATAGATCATATGCTCAAAAGTTTGTTTTCCAGCTTGAGGTGATTATAATCTCAATTACAAATGCCTTTCTTATGCAGCTAATTTCTATATTACCACAGTGGTTTGAGTGCTGATTCATCTGTAAATATGAAAATTTTGGCAACAGAAAAGAAAGTGTCACATAGGAGATATTG